TATTTTGAGACGTACCTTCAAATTTATGCTCATCTCTCCAAAGGTGAAGAATCAAGAGGTGCCGTTTGCTCACGCCTGGAGAGCCCCATTGTGTAACTTTTTAATCAAGAGTGTCCCCTCATCCAAAGACATTAATCCTATTCCCAATGTTGTTATATTTTTTTTCCTCAAGAATCAAGACGACAGAGGAAGAAAAGACGTTTTTTCCACTTCTCGCATTATTTTGTGAAGAGCCCAATTTCCCCTTTCCTTTAGCATGTGTTTCCATGGTGACCGTTCCCAGGACTGTTTGGCGCTGTTCTGAGTTCGGATCCTGGGATAATCAAAGAGAGGTCTGTAGTGTCTGTGAATCCTAGCTGTCAATCATTAGCCATCAACAGGAGCGTTTTCTGCATTTCGTCGAAAAGGTCCCGCCTTGAATGAATCAGAGGTTTCAAGGGGGGGGTGCGGGGGGGGGGGTAATGACGCAGCGCGTCTCAAGGCATGCCGGGGCGGAATTAACAAACACAAGGAAGACGCAGACACGGACTTGGTGGTGAAACCGTTTAGCTTTAAGACTCTCTGAGCTTGGAAAAGAAAAGCTCCACAGCCATTTTTTTTTAAAACTCCAAATCAAGCCAAAAAACAAAAGAGAGAAATCAATTTTTGAAACACGTCGGTGGAGAAGAGGTGCACCTGACACTTCAGTGTATAGTGACATTGTAATATTTTTTTCAACTCATTCCCAAAACAACTGTACACAACCTCTGCTCCACTCCGAAATCTTTCTTATTTCTTATTTATCTCTTGTTTCTTTTTTTCTTTTTCTTTTTTAAAGATGTCTAGAAAAATGGAGGAATTTGATTCTTTCTGCCCTTTTTGTACAGATTTCAAGCACATCGCTCTATTTATAGAAACATGTTGGAAGTGTGGGGCGGTTTATTTCAGCCCTGCAGACGTACAAGGTCATTTTTTGGTCCACAAAGGAAAGGCTTTAACGTGCCTCCTTTTAGCCGACTTATTCAATCAAGCAAGAAAGTTTCAAATGCAACTGCTGATCTGATCACCGTATTTATTACTGCATTTGTGTATTTATTATTTTCCCTTTTTCTTTCCTCTCACTATTTATTTGGTCATTTATTTATGCTAATCTATAAGCTGTAAGTATTTATTTAACAATGCTCTGGATGTCTGTGTGAAACTGAAGACTTTTTTTCTGATGGGCACTTTTAGCTGTAGAATCCCATCGTAATACCAAAGATTAACGTTGCCTCCCTGAATGTACGGCCTGAATCCCCAAACCTAACACCTGATCCCGACCCAATCCAGCCCAATCCACCCAGTGATGTTGCGTATCTCTCTATCTTATAGGCCTGGCCTTTTCTTTCCTTTTTATTTAATTTTTTATTCTCTCTTTGTTTTCGTAGAATAATGGGGAATTCTTTGCTCTTGCAAATGTCTCTGCTGTCAGCTCTCTTAATGCCAAGGCCAAAGCTTGTTTGAATGTTGTGATTATATTTATAATTGATAATACTATAAATAATAACAGTAATGACGAAGACGATGTGGCATCTCATGGGTTCACAGGTTGCTTGTTAAGTTGATGTTCAGACCAATGCCATCTGGCGGAGTGCATAAAATGTCTGGGGGACCCGCTTAAAAACGATGTCTGGAGCGAAGTGCGAGTCCTTCAGGGGTTCACGTGTAAAAATGCGTACTATGTGTCTGGCTGCCTAATTATGCATGGTTGCGACCGCCATCTTCCTCACACAAGGTCCCTCCTCGGTGCAGCGCAGACACGCGTGTCGACGTCCCGCTCAGTGTGATCTCACTGTCCTCCACATGCCGAGCCCCTCCTGCCAGTTGTCTCAGTTCCAAGTGGCCTCCTAGGGTCCACTTCTGCTCTTCCTCCGTCGTGTTCCGAAGCTTCTGGAGTTTGATCCCGATCTCACGTTGTTCGTTTCTTGTGTTCATCACATTCTCGGAATGCTGAATTTTTTTTGTACCCCCGATTCTCAAGGTCTTAAGGATCACCCCTGGCTGCCTGGAGGTTTTTTTGGGCCTCTTCTGTTAGTTCCTTATCTGTTGGTGACCTGAGGAATTTTCGGCCCATATGTTCTTTGCCTGTGGGATTTGCTTCTGCAATTTGTCGGAATCTCTGCTTTTGTAGGATAACATCCGTTAGCAGGGGGAGTTTTTTTTCGTGGTCGGTTTCTCTCTAAGGGATCTGAAACGATTTGCATAGCACAATTATCAGATTTTCCGGTGTTTTGTGTGGCCGTGGTTGTACGTCAGGGGGAAGTCTACCCATCCCTGCGTAAATGCTGCCAAAGAGTGGCGAGGCTAACTTGGCCATTTATTTTATTTTTTTTACCCCCTCACACTCTGTCTGATTTTATCTCTCTTTTCTTTGCCGTTAATGTTGGAAGGGGTGTGGACCGCTACAGCCCCCTTCACAGCACGGACTTGAAAGACTGGCGGTCATGAAAGAGGGCCATCGACTTTTTTCGTAGACTTCAAAGGGGAGGCTTTTTTATCCCATCTCCTCTCTGGGTATCTGGTCCGGGGTCCGCTGTTGGCCAGACCTGTGGGCTTTAGGGGGCATTCAAAGGGGGCGGGAAGAGATCAGAGAGGAGGCTGAATCGTCCAGAGTGAGGGTGGTGGTGGTGTGTGTGTGTGTGTGTAGAAGTAGTAGGAAGGAAGGGGGGGGGGGGGGTGGGGGGGGTGTGTTTGAGGAACAGGAGGTGTTGGAGTAGTGGGGCATGGAACTGAATTAAAGTTTAATGAGTAACAATTGTCAGCATGCTGAGAGCAAAGGGAAGGGGGAGGAGGTGAAGGGGGAGTGGTAGGGGTGAAAAATTTTTAAAATGAAAGATCCTGAAGGCTCCTCTGCTGACCCCGGCGTCGCCGCCATCGTATCAAAGCTGAGGTGACACCTTTTCAGGTTTCCCTTTGTCTGTCTGAAGGGGAGCCCAAAACGGAGACAGAGCTTTTTGGATTAAGCCACCTTCTGCTCCGTGAGCTCTCTCTCCTCCCCGGAGGAGGGAGGAGGGAGGAGGGAGGAAGAACCCAGTTGGCTCCGGCAGGTGATCTGCATTGCCATTTTAGCCTACGGCACCCCCTAGTGAATTTTCTACAGACTTGACCCCGAGACAAACCTGGCAGCCCGAGGTCGCCGCGGAGCAATTCTGATATCCACGTAGGAGAAACTGAGAGCCAATATACACTTTCGGAAAAGAAAAAAAAAAATGGAAATGTAAAAAAAAAAAAAAAATACTTTTTTTTTGGAAAAAATTTAAAAAAAAAAAAAAAAAAAAAAAAAAAAAAAAGAACAACCAAAGATTGATGGGTAAACTGCCGAATCATTACGTGCGATGGGAGTTTTTTGGCAGTTTTCCATCAGAGCTAACGTAGCACTCAGAGGATTCAAAAAGCACCAGTGGGGTTCCGCGTGCCGATTATTTATGTTGTGTAAAACAGTATTATGTTGAGCTGGAACTGAGAAAACTGACATGAGGCAGCGTCTTCTAATGGAGGTCTTTTGACTCCGCAAGCCCCCCGTCCCTCTTTCCCCCCCCCCCCCCCCCCCCCCCCCCCCATCCCGCGCCCACCCACCCCTTACCCCTGTGTGTACATGAAGACTTTACCCATCTACCTCAACTGTGTGAGATGTTGTGTGGCAAAGATATTCCTTAACCAAAGAATCCATCCTGTCAGGGTGTCTGTCTATCTGTCTATCTTGTCTGTCCATCCGTCTCTTCTTCATGCCTTTTACTCTGAACCAAACGCGCTGGAATCAATCCATAACAGGAGCCGATCGAGGCCCCCGTCCAGCCAAAGCTAAAGTCCAGTATGTTGGTGTCCATTTGATCCATTAAATATATATATATGTATATATATATATATATACTGTATATATGTATATATATATACATATATATATATATGTATGTAAGTATGTGAAATCATTCTCAAGACCAAAAAAGAAGGAGGTGACAATCCAAGCAAGGAGGTTCTTGCTGTAATCAACGTTGCCTATTCCTTGTTTTTTTTCCGAAAACTAGAATTATTTGAATTGCTGTCATAGAAAAAAGCCCAAGAATCATCCCGGAATAAGAAGGTCAGAGGAGACAGAAGCTATTTTTCCACATTTGTAAGCCACCCCCACCCCTCCGACCCCAAAACCCTGTTATTTCCAAATGTTTAGTGTAGTTGAAATACTGTTTGATCCCACTGTTGTAAGTAGGAGTTAACGAAATCCACACAGAAAGCTTTACCTGGGAAGAGCTGAAGGAACTGTTCGACTGAGTCCGAGTTTCCTCAGCCCGGACTCGACCCACCATGCTTTACCGTGCCATTCTTGTCCATGTGTTAGACTTAATAATGAATGTGGCTAACCAACCAAAGGCTTTAAAAAATACACAACACTTTAAACGTCAATCATGGTGGGACATTTTGTATGAACAACTAAAGAAAATCCCTTTGAATACCTCATGTGAAAATTGTTTGTTGTGATGTTGCACTAAAAAAATAAAAATGACTCATTTGTAACCCTACGCTGTGCTCTGTCCACTTCATTCTGACCTTGTTGGAGGGGCAGTGAGGTTTTTAAAGGCCACGCTGACAGCGGGGATCAGGGATTTCTGGGAATGGTTTCATCCTTTATCACAGTTCAGTTCTCTCCTTTGAATTTGATGTTAATCTTATCTTAAATGTGATTTGTGCAACATCTTCAGAATTCACATACACTGTAAATTATAGATTTTCTGTTGAAACAACTCTCCAAAACATAGGTTTGTAAAAATGGGCTACTTGTGGAGCCCTCATTGTCTAAAAAAAGAGTTTAGGGTTAGGATTTAGGCTTATTCACATAGGCTTATTCACCCTAACTTTGTTTTTGAGGGATTTTTTCCTTCTTTTTTATCACAGCTGGATATTTCTATTCTCCTTCAAAAAATAAACCAAGCTAAAAACAGATATGTGAAAGATGAACTATACCGGTCAATGAACTTTCAAGCTTTTCAGAAGCGTAGATTGGTGTTTAATAAAAGGCTCAACGCAACAGGAAAATAAGATGACGTTATTTGCCTACAGGCAGCTAACATACGGCATGTCATTATATCAGCACGTTCACAGGATATTCACCAGGAAGACAGGTATTGATTTGATCCTTCCTTCTGTCGCAACAACTGACCAACAAGTCAATATCCCAAAGAGTCAATGGAAACCTTTCAGACAGTTTTTATGGCAGCTTTAACAGACAAAGCGGTGACTTCAGCCTCGATTCACCCCCAACACAGGATGCAGATGTGGTAACGACCAACAGACCGGACAGTCTGCTGCTGTAAACCAATGAAAACAAAACTGCCCTGATGCCAGTACCATATCAGTCCCTTTTATTAGACATCAAAGACAAAAACATACACTTTAACATTGGAACGCACACAAACATGACAGTCTAAAAAACATGGTCAGTGATGATGTGCATGGAGAAAATCTGTAAAAATCTCCCAAAAAAATAACTAAAAGGCACCAAAGGTGCTGATTTCACACTTTAGTATTTGAAGGGTTGTAGTAAAAACAAAGGATAAATGATTTACTAAGAATTTTTTGAAGAGTTTGAGTTGAGTTCCCTCTGCGGCTACATGATGGGGTAGCAGCCATACAGGGCGATGCCACACTGGTCATTCCTGTTGCGGGACATCCGGATGTAGCCCTGGTCTCCAAAAGTAGTTCCCCAGCTGAATGTGGAGAGGATACAGAACCATCAATTAATGTCCCAGAAACAGAAAGAAGAAAGTTTATCCTGAAGTTGAGCTGTTCAAGAGACAAATTAGTCATGAAATCCTTTGATAACTTTAAATGCTTACAGTCAGTCACCACATGTGCTGGGAACTGTAGTTTAGATTATGGTCCACACGTCTCAGAAGTGTTTAAGAAGCACATCTCTTTAGTTTGTCGAACCCACAGGGGCTCAAATCAAAGGGCCGCTGGTTCAAAAGCTGCTTCACTGACCAAGCAGGAGCTCTCCAGCTGAAGAGTTTTAATACAGATAAAGCGATGGAAACTGTCCACACATTAACCATAGCTAAGTATGAATGTGGTCAGTGTGGGAATATATTCTCAGTGAATTGAAATCAAATCTGAAAGTGTCTATGTTTCAATAAAGTCTGAGATGTTTGATAAAAGCAACAACCAAAAGGAAAGAAAAATAGGCTGAAATTGGGAAGCTGTGATGTTCCTCCCTTTTGTGAGAGCATCAGACACAAACCAGCATTTTTTTTTTTCAATCAGTCGGTACTCCCACATCAGCAAAAAACTCAAACGACACATCTGAACTACTTGTTGATGTCGTAACGTTGTGCACAATTTTGGCTTCCCAGTTTCACTTCTTACTTTTCCTTCACAGCAGCAAAATAAGAGGCGAAAAAGAAAAACACCCAAATTCTCTGTATTTGTTTGTGGGCCAGCTGAGAACCAAAGGGACATGTGAGTGGTGGAGACATCTCACCTGTTCTTTATCAGCCAATAGTCCTGTCCGTTCAGGGTGCCGTAGCCCACAGCTAACACAGCATGGTTCACACTCTGGGAACAGCTTGGGTCATTATATACCCCTAAAAAAAAGAAAAGAAAATCAATCAGATTAAATAAAGCTCCATTAACTCTTTTAATTCAGAAGCACACTTACTCAACTAACCTTGATAATTAAAGAAACATTAGTAAAATGTCTTTGAAATTATAGGATTTTAAAAATCCACTGAAAGTACAGTCTCAGGAGCTGGTGATGTGTAACATACCGCTTCTGTAGAAAGTAAATCTGGGCCGGGTGGCATCGATAGCCACTGAAATTGGACCGATGGTGGCGACCGCCTGCTTCAGAGCCACCTCGTCCCCTTCGGGCAGAAAGTTGTACCGGGAGCAGTTGGCCGCTCGGTACCTTGGGTCGTAACGACACTGCTGATCCTGAAGAAAGATTAAAAAACTGGGATTTAAACCACGACCAACAAATAAATGGGTGACAGCAAAAGATATAATCAGAATGGGAGATTTGAAATGTTTAAATAGGACCCAAACCAATTATTTAAAACAAGATGTTTGGGAAATTAGTCCCAAATTTGTACTGTTATCGGCTCTTTTTTGGACACGAAACATGTTTTGCTCACTTTTTGTTAGGTTGTCTCGCATCATTCTACATCACAGTCGTTTTTGGTCTATTTTTGGCTGAACTAAAACCACGATAGCTCAGTGAAGCCGCGGACAGAAATGCTCCACACACAAACAGCAGCGAACCAGCAAAGGCCTGCAGGACAAACATGTTGTCCGCTCCGATTAATCTATTGTTGCTCCAAAGAGACATTAACAGCAAACCACAGACATGTGAAAGGAGTGTTTCTGTCTACAGCCTGAAGGGCTGCACTTAACTTTGTGATTCTGTTCAAACACCCACATTGTTGCCTCATAAAGGAATTTGTTAGCGGCAAAGCTGATACACACCTGTTCCAGCTCAAAAAGGAATAATGGGCATAAACATGGATAGGAGTGATCCTACAGTACAGAATTAACAATAAGGTTTTCTGAGTAAGAACTGACTTGTATCAAAAATATAAAGCTGGTCAAGCGAGTAAAAGTCCTATATTAGTAGAAGTCTATTTACCATTTTACCATATGGTTTTCTACTGTCTTTGTGAAATCAAGTAGCGTTATGAGGCATGTGAACTCGGTGCTGGATTCTGACGTCAGTATGATCACAGAGAAACTGCGCAGCGTTAAAAAGAAAGCGCTGGTAAAAATGTCCACACGGGTATATTTACAGAGCAATAACGCAGACATTTGCATCTTTATGTCCACTCTGTCCTGAAACTGGGGCCTGGGAAGTTTTACAAAAGCTCTCATTTTTGCACGGGTCTAAACGTCTTTGCCAGCGGCTACCGACATCTGACAAAGCTCAAAAACCACAAATGGGCATTGTTAAAATTGCGCAGGGTCAAGAAAAGCTCTAATTACCATGGAAGATGGGGGTGTGAGGAGGATTTAGTGTTACCTGCAGGAGAGGGCGGCTAAAGCGCTTTCAGATGATGCATGACTTTACCTACAACTTTCTCAGCAGCAGTAATTTCTTATCATGCAAAACAACTAAGAGCCATTCAAGTGAGGGCTCCACTATTCTGTGAGTCTTTCCGTATGCATCATTTTGCAACATTTGGTCCAAACCAGAATGCCCGCGTTGCAACACGGCCCGAAACCACTTGCGGAACATCTCAGATTGCAAGTGCATGGGGCAACCTGGCCCGTGCGGGCCCGTAACAGGCTCATGGAGAAAAATCGTGTAAAGCTGGTTTCTTCTTGTGGTCGTCTGCAGCGCAGTGTTTAGCCCAGCAAAAAAAAAAAAAAAAAAAAGCTTCTTTAAACTACCCGACTGCTTCCTGTTGATGGTACAGTTCTGAGTGCAACCACGCGTCAGACGCACTGACACATCTCCGGTGTACTCACCCTTCCCGTGTACGGGTACCCGGCATCGGAATCGATGCCCCGGTTATCGATGACGTACTGGAAGGCCTGGTGCATGAAGCCCCCGTTGCAGCCGTGGTTTCCGTACTTGCTGGAACAGTCCACCAGATTCTGGGGGCTCAGGTCCACCAGCTTACCGGTCTTCTTGGCCAACTGACCCTCCAGGGCCCCCGCAGCACTAAAGGCCCAGCAGGAGCCGCACGCACCCTGGATTTGAACAGTTGTTGTTACTTAAAAGTTACAAAAAAAAGTAGCTCTACAGGAAAACATCCAACAATTAAGATCCTCCAAATATCCACTTTAATCATCTTACTTTCCTCTCATCAAAGTACCTTTTCATAGTTAATACAGCCTGATAAAAACCTACCAGCGTATACACAGATGTGACATTTACTTTGTCTTTTATTACGTTAAACCACCACAGTTTTTACCTTTGCACCCATTGGATGTGTGACTTTGTTACAGAAATCCAACAGCTGTAAAAAAAACTGATTCTAATTGATGTAATGGAGCTTTACTGATACGGTTTTTTGGGTGAATCTGCCGTCTTTAATGAAAATTGTCTAAATGTCTTGTTCTTTACTTCGTGCACATTTCCATGTTTGGCAGTGACTGAGCAAAGACGGAGCTGGCAGAAAGTCCAGTGCCGGTTAAAAAAAAGAGGTTAAAAATTCAACTGGTTGCCAGATGAAGTGGCCTATTTATCAATTATATTCAGAATTACACAAAGAGGAAAAAGAATGCCAAAATCAATATTTGAGAGCCTCCGTCCGACTGAACAATGCAAATCTTAGAGGTTTGGCACACAGAACCAAAAAAAAATTGAGACAAGAAAGACTCTAAGCATTCAAATTTTGAACGCGATGTGGGAATATTTCCTCCTTTAATAAAGACGTAAATAGAAATTTCTAAGTGTAAAGTGTTGAATGTTTCTCGTTTATTGTGAGATGAGAGGACGTTCAGTGGTGGCCTTTTCAAATGAGCTGCTGGTTGGTGATAAGTTTGAGGTTTTGAAACATGTGAGGCCGTGATCACGCAGCGCTTATGCACCCCCGTGAAAAAAGTGGATGTGGTGACAAAAAACTTGCTTAATAGGCAGTTATGATTTGAGTTTCTGCGCCACAGAACAGGGAACCGGACGTTTGTGGGCCGCGACACGAGGGATGACGGCTCGTCTGGCGTTAAATCAAAACCCTTTTTTTTCCCTTTTCTTTACCTGGTACTTAACCTTTGTGACATAGCCCTTGTCTCTCCAGTCCATGGTGTCTGGAACGTCAGAGCCAGAGGCTCCAAAAAAGGGAGATGGCGCCCTCTGGATGTGGGTGGGAGGACTGAGCGTGGCAAACATCTGCTGGATCTCCTCTGGTGTCTGAAAAAGGAGACAAAAGGAAACAATAGCACTGTGATCACATTATCCAAAACAGGTTTAAAACAAGGTTAAGTTTTAAGACAAAAAAACAAACAAACAAACAAAAAAAACAAACGTAAAAGTCTGTAACAACTTATCTTCATTTCATTTAATTTTTTTGGGAAATGTTCTATTGCTTCTTAGAGTTCAAGTACATTTGATAGTTTTATGCAACCGATGTCACCAATTCTGCAACTTTACAACTTTAAATGAGGGTTGGAGTCAAATATTTACACATATTTTCTCCAAACACATAGAGGCGTCTCATTATTATTGTATTGGTTATCTATTGGTTACTGTCCCTCTTTAGCACACTGAAAATGTCTCCAGTCTTAACCGGGGTAAAGTCTAAATCTGGAGATAGCAGCTGCATTAACGTCTTTATTGCTGCTGAAGATGATCAACATAAATCAACAGATGCTATCAAAGGCCGGCATAGACGTGTTTTCTTTCCTGTGGTGAAACCTATGACAGTACAGAGGCTAAAGCCAATGAGGTCAGTCAGATAAACATCATGCTTTTGTTGAATTTGAATCTCTTTTCTGTCAGCTGCAAGCTTTGTTTCTTCATTCTTTAGTCGTGGAGTGAAGTCAATAAACCACAAGAGAGAGCTAAGATTTTGTCTGATCACTACAAAACTATTTCCCACGCAGTCTGATGAGAGGCAGGTTAAAGGACACAGACCACTTATCTCTTTTCTTTTTTTTTATATTCCAGTATCCTGCCAGCGTGGCTAAGTCAATCATTAAGTCAGACCACAGAACAGTGTGGGCCTCACATCATTTGAATGCATCCTAGAGGGACTGATCAGCGGTCTGGTTGAGAACGGGATTCATTTCATTACTTGTGTTGGGTATCAAAGGCCAGAGCAGAGAAAGCGCAGCCTCCCAGGAAGTGTGAGAGAGGGAGAACGAAAGGGTAAAGGACAAAGCCCGGCGCGCAGCAGCAAAAGTTTCTCATTTCCATTCTGCGCGGGCTTAAAACAAAGTCTGTGTAAATTATTCTCTCGATATATATGCCCTTAACACTTAAGCCGAGTTTCACTGTGTTTTGATCCTCTAACATTTTGACTTCCTGTTAATTGTGTGAATAAATACATTTTTAAACGTCGAATATCTGCATGCAGTCAGCTAAACGTGGGATCTGTGCGATAGGGACAGTTAGCCAGTCCTGAGTGAGGTGGCTTTTGCTAGCTTCCAAATATACAATGCTGTTATTTAATCCAGTCTTATCTATGAGATCCTGGACCACAGTCGGATTTTTGTCTTTTTTATCTTCCTCTTCACACGTGTATAATTTTATCTTTTTTTTCCATCATCTGTTTAAACTTTGAACAAACTTCTGTAACATCCCTGGTTTTGGCCTTTTTGGAAACACGTTAAAGCACGCTGGCACATGCCAGAACTCATGTGCTTCTCTCTTTTTTGTCTTTATTATCCTGTTTTGCTTGTGCCATTTCAAATATAAGTTCCACTCTTCAAACAGCTAGTGGCAAATCCTCATAGTTTCTCCATTCTGCTTCTCTTGTGTTTCAACCCTCACTGCTCAACACTTTCCTTCTGATGAACTCTTTTATGACTGCATTATCTTCCCTTATACTTAGGCTTTCTGATTTCCCTTCGGATCTATTCGCTTTAATTGGAGTGATTGTCCGCGAGCTGATCTTTTCTTGTAATAAAAGACAACATTCGTATTTCCTCCTGCCTGCCTGAGTCTGTATGTACTAGAACCACTCTGTAGATCCATCTGATTCCCTTATGCTGCGGTCATTAGTGAACAAAAAAGCAACAAAATCAAATAAAAGTCACAGAAGAGGAGCAGCAGAGAGTCTCACCAGGTCTCCCATGGCGTTCATGCTCAGATCGTAGGTGTGAAAGCCCATGGAGGCCTCCAGGTTGTGCGTGGTAATAAGCATCAGGTTACTCTCCCATAACTCCCTGCGGCGCACATCCTCCTCCTAAACACACACATTCAGATATCAAACGGGCGAATGGCCACTTCACATGTCAAACGTCCACCTTTTCGATCACGCACCTGGTTGTGGTACTTCTTGCCGTGCGTCTTCTTCCACAGCTCCCAGTGGGCGTCCAGCCTGCCCTCAAACATGGCCGCCGCTCCGGCGACCAGGGAGACCAGCAGCAGGCTCCCCAACATCAGACCTGCGCACACGCAGAGAACACGGGATGTCACCTGACCTTTGATGAGACGGGCTCACCTGGAGAGAGAGGGAGAGCAAATCCCGTCTGGCGGAGATCAAGCCCTCCGGTCAGAAATAGGAAGAATGGTTCTCACGTCACATAAACCCACATGCGGGGGAATCCACTTCTGAGTGGCTCCAGGTTAGACATGACAAACCGTTTTCTCAATGGCATCGGCTTTTCTAAGTTCCATTACCTTTTGTTGCCCGGACCTTCAAGAGAATTTACTATTTGAAGACCCTAACTGGCAGCGGAAAGGCCAGAAGAGTTGCTTTTTTATCAAAATAGACAGCACTGCTTTTGCGTGTCAGTAGATTGATAAAAAATTTAAAAATTAAATAAAAAATAATTTTAAAAAAATACAAAAAAGAGTAATAAAGGAGCCACAGCTCCATGAGGTCTGGCTCTGCCTTTGACAGCCATTAAACCAAAGCGTCACCGCCTACAGTAACTTCACAAAAAAAAAAGAAAAAAGAGGAACAATTCTCAAGATCGGTTCCATTTTTCTTTTTTGGGGTGTTTTTTAATCCACTGAACGATCTCTGAAAGCCGGTCAGGAAGGGGCCGAGTGTAAAAATGTCAAAAGATTCTGCGTTTCCACTGTGAGCGATACGAAAAAAAAACAGGAAGCCCACAGGTAGCCAGGTCTACCTGTGGGCTTCCTGTTTTTTTTCCTGTTATTGTTTACTGCCATGTAAAAACTCCAACAGCTGGCCGTGACCTTATTTCTCTGCCATTTCAAAACCTTTAAACAACTACCAATAAATATTGAAATCAATTACTCTAAGGCCAAAGTTTTAATGCTGACAGTCATTCGAATCTTTATTTAGTCAGAATATCTTAAGGTTGACTTTTGGTGATGTTAAAGCAACAGATTTAGGTTACTATCAGAAGGTAAAAGGAATAAAAATAAATCAAAATAAATACATTTCCAAATAGACATTCAACATTTCATTCAACAAAACGGCCATGCTGTTATTTAATTTCTTCCTGAATCCGCCTTTCAATACAATAAAATGTTTATTGACAAACCTATTTGTCAACTTTAGTCACAAATAAATAAATATGTTATGCGCATCCATGCGTTCTTTACATTTGATCATACATAACACATTAACATAACAATAAAATAAGTAATGATTACAGTAAACTTGAACAGGTAAATACAGATAACTAAATCAGACCAGAAAAATGGAGCTAACGTTAGTCTTGGGGGGTAAAAATCTTGAAGCTTATGTCTATCTCCCGTCATCCCCAATGGCTTGATGTGGCTTTAGTTTTTTTTATAGACCCCATGTACATCCCCCCCCCAGCTGTGTACTCTTTGTGTGGATGTTAAAGCTCTCTAAAGGCAGCAGCCTAAAGTATCACTTCTGCAAAACTTCATAAAATGAATTATGCACCCACTAATGAGGCAACGTCTTGTGACTAGAGCAGAAACTAATGAGCGAGCAGGAACTTGAGGGGTTTCATGTATCATTAGAGTCAACCAGTTAAACCTGTTTTATTCTAGAGGAATTGGAAAACAAAACTAATTTGTAAAGGCATTTGTAATTAAAATGAAGAAGTTTTTTCTAAATCAGAATAATAAGCTTTAAAAACACTCTTCTGTACCTGATGATGCTCTCGTGTTATTTGTATCCAAAATCTTCACCATAAATGTGACTTTAACCAGGATTTGGAACCCAGCAGAAGTTTTGGTCACTTAAAGGTGACTGTTTGTTTAATGTGACCAAATAGCCACTGGGATTTCTTTAAGGGAAATCTTCTTTATTGACTATTCAAAAAATCTTATTTCTGGTTGAAAAAAGTACTTGTTTTTTAGGATTGAATGTTTTGATGGTGTAAAAAAAGACGCGTTCCTGACAGACGTCTGCAGTTTTAATGGTTATATTTCTACCTGAACAAATCAGTCCTCTTAAATTCTAAACACAATCACATTGTGTCTCCGTTTGACTGACTTAAAACGACTTTGACGATCTGTACCTGTAACTCATTTCAGACATAACCACCTGCAGCCTGAGCACAAAGGGAACTTTTTGGAAAACACAGAAAAAGAAACGAAAGTAAAAGCAAACGCGCCTCAGAGCTTTTTCTTCACGGCTCAAAACTACCAGAAAGTAAACAGATCAGCAGAAAAAGCAGGAGTTTAAATCTAACTCCACTTGCCTGTGATAGTCGAAGTCATGGCGCGATCGTGGCTGAACTTCTTCCTACTGTAGGGCTCTTTCCTGGTTAGTGTTTATGAAGGAAGATGTCACATGGGCCGACGCACTTCTTCCTCATCAGAAACAGAAACCGCATCACGCTCATGTGTTTGGCAATCACCTCAAACACGCCCAAAAAAACATTACCAAAGAGTTTTTATTATTTTTTTATATTTGTATTTCCTTATTTACTTGTTTGTTTATTAATATTTTATTCATTCACTCAGTCATTTATCTACCTGTGGAACAAGAAGTTAATATCTGATAACTTTTTTAAAGATTTTTGCAAATAGTTGAAACAACAGATGTAAACAATGGTTTAAACCTGCAGGTAGAGACATTGCAGATTTAAGATCTCTCCAGGTAAAATGATGGGCTTTGATATTTGTTTATTTTTGCAAGGAGAACATTTTTGGTTGAATGGAAAATGTCAGGGAGACCTACACAAATCGTCTTGGGAGCAAAGATGTTGGATGACCAGCTTTCAGAACAGCTTCAAGTGCAGGTCAAGAGGAATATTTGGTCAGAAGGTCACAAGGTTTCCAGAAAGTCTGCAGCTGGATGACCACTGACCGGAATTCAAGACAGGGACCATGTGACATGTTTTTTTTTCATAAGCTCGGTTTAGCTTTCAAGAGTACTTCTTGTTATGAATATTTTATGGTTTCTGTGACATTATTTGTTGATAAAGGGGAGGAAACCAAGACTGTAAAAACACTTTCTACTGTGATCTGCTGTCATCTTTTGATTTTCTGAAGCTTACCAGAGACACTTTGTCCATTTTGACATTGTTAAACCAACATCCGGACCTTCCTGTTTGGAAAACAAAGGACTGGGAATACCACACGATCAGAATTAATTCAGGAAGAGAGATTTTTGTTATCTTTGTACAGTAGCGAGCAGGCTGCCTCAAACATCTGAAACAATGTGTCCCTTAATACATTTTCATTTTTTTATGTGAAAAGTTATGACGTGGAACTTCTTTTTAACACAAAGTCATCTGCACAATCACCAGTTTCACATGGCATAAAACCACAAAAACAGCTGAGAATGAGACTGAAAGCAAATCTGACATATTCAGGAAAAAAAAGGCAGCGGGTTGAATCTTCCTTTGTTTAAGCTGTGTTTGTTAAGGATGAAAATGAATGTTTAATAAAAAAATGTAAATACAAACTTGTCCATCTTCACCTCTTCTATGTAGAAGAGCTCATCTCAAATATGAGATTAATTCCAACAACTACATACACAAGCTAGAGCTAATAATGAGTTTAATTATTTACTAAGATGACTTCAGCTTTAACCCAACCCAACAGGATGTGTTTGCTTGGATTGTGGGCTACCTTCGAGATATTTAACAGATTTGTTAAGATGTAACTCTGTAAGAGTTTAACCAGTGAATTCCTGTTGGAATCAGCCTGTTCTGACAGTGTGACTGGTTATTGACTGTGTACCTGTAGTGTAACGCAGACACCATAAGACGTGTGTTTCCTATTCTCTGTTCACCGATGTGGCTTTTCTTAAAAGTGGAAACTGCTGTTTCACACATAGATGACGTGTGACTGCTGGTATAATTAAGCTTTGTGGTTTGAGAGGTATGAACCAGAACAAAGCTGAACATCTTGTTTTTGTGCCAGTTGAAACAACAGAATTGGTTCTATAAAAAACGAACGACAATTGAACTGATCTCCACTTTTTTTTGGTGCCGGCCTTGTGCCGAATTTGCTTGGCCTCGCAGAGAATACTCCAACTGTATTTTTTCAACTTTAAAAGACTTTATTCAATTTCATAGAAAACATGGACTTACACTTTAGTCATCACAAAAGTGCTGAACACAACAACAACAACAAAAACAATTGATTGAGATAAAAAAAACAGCATCAGTTAGTTTTCATTTTACAGGAAAAGACTCAGAACTTGCACAGCAATGTGTCTTTCTTGCACATATTTAAAAAAAATTAAGCTGACTGCATTAAAAACACAAAAAATATCCAATGGAGGTCTACAGGTCTTTTTCTTTTCGGAGAAAATGACAGACCCCAAAAATAAAAAGTGCTTCATTGAAGTGCTCGGCGTCACCAAACAGAAGTCACATTTAAATTATTATTTTTTTAGGAACGTTAACTTCCTAAACACCACAACATTTAACATGAGAGAACTCTTCCCCCAACAGAAAAAAAAAATGGTTTGATATGAATGATTTGGAAATGTTCTTACAAAAAAAAAAAAACGAGATATTTTGTTGACAAACTTCGGGAATATTTGCCAGTGTGCTCGTTTGTGCGAAGTAGTCAAAGCGAAGGCTCCCCGGTTTTTCCTCACATGACGGGGTAGCTGGCGAGGTTGGCGATGCCGCAGAGGTTGCCGCGGTTACGCGCCATCAGGACGTAGCCCTTCTTGCCCCACTGCTCGCCCCAGCTGCAGGAAGAGACACAGGACAGGATGTCAGCTGTGGGATTGTGGCCCCGGGGGGGTCGTGCTGCATTTCAGTTTATCAGTTTGTCACACAGGCGAACACAAACTGCCAAACACCACATCAACACGGCGTTTTTTTGATTTGGTGGCCTTCAGAGCCACCTGATGCCATGTTACAGGTGACGGGGCCCCACCTGTTCTTGACGATCCAGTACTTCTTCCCCTTGGCGCTCACTCCATAGCCAACGACGAGCACGGCGTGATTGATGTTGTCTTTGTTACAGTTGGAGTCATAGTAAATACCTGAGCACACAACAGATGAGAGATGAGAGACAAACATCGTCTGTGATGCTTGTTCAGTATTCTGTTTTCTTTTTTTTAACTTTTCTGATTCGTTTTTTTCAAAACGAAAATCAAAATGAAACACAGGAATACTCCACAAAAGAATCTCCCACACAAAAGTGCACAAGTGCGTTAAACAAAGAAAAATGGTTCCTTTAGGACTTGATTGTCCAAAATTCTTCTCTCAGACAGCACAAAAAGTTTCATAAAAGCAAACCTGAATGGACTAAAACAGCCACAGGCCAACCAATTCAATCTAGAATTACATGAATTTTGCTTCTAAGATTTAATCAAACCCAGCAAACCATGTTAAAGGTAGAAAAACTTTGCTTTTAGCTTTATTTCTAGTGTCACTGACTATTTAAGATTTTCAAGTCTAGATGAAGTCTCTAAAAATATTCAATAAGAAGATTTCCAGTTAATCTAAAAATCAAATTAGGGTAACTTGACAAAATTTAGACTGTGCGCAATAATCTGAAATAAAAAAAACACAATTTAGATGTAAAACAGCAGCATTTACAATTTGACCTCCCAATCATAACTAGAAAAGAACAAACTAAACATGGAAGGATTTCAAAGGCCTTTCTGAGTGTATTTGGATATTCCCTTTTCAATCAAACTCTATTGCTAACAGACCTCCCCTAAATGATTTGCATGAGGACAACAGCATGGTGAGCTGATGCCACTGACCTCGCTGGTAGTACTGGAAGGTTCCCAGCGTTGCGTCGATGCCCACGGACACCGGACCCGCTTTGAAGAGGGCGACGGCCAGGGCACGCTCGTCGCCCACTGGGATCTCCACGAAGCCCTTGCACTGGGCAGCCATGCCTGACGAATTGTAGCTGCATTGCTGCGTCTGCAGGCAGGACAAATTCAGCCATTCAAATCCCACTGAACATCCCAAGTATCTAAATGCTTTATACATTTACAAGAAAATCTACAAAAAGATCTGTGAACATAAAAGGGGTTTTTGTTTACTTAGAAGTTTGCAATCAGGCAGAATTATCACTAAAATAATAATGATGGAATTAATAGCATGTATTCATAACTGTATTCCACAAATAAACATGGGAAAATGCGTCTTATAAGTGCTGTATGCAGCAAATCTTGTTTTTTCAAAGTCACATGCTCTTATCACATGACTTGATGTATCATGCTCCTGGTATGCAAACAATGGGAACAGTGCAGCAATTAGTCACGAATGTACAGAAGTACTTCCTTCTACACGCACCAAACAGAAAGCAATGTTCACTTACCCCTCATTGCTTAACAAAATAATTGTTTGACTGCAGTTAAAATGGAGAAAATGGAGAAACAGCTAGTTCTTTGCTAAGCGTGACAACCTTACCGTCAGTGAGCAGTTTCGATCTGCGTCTGCAGTTTAAACCAGATATCAGGACTTTTTTGGTTTCTTTTTTTTACGGAGAGTCTCTTTTTGCTGAAGTTTGACGTGTTTTTTTTAAAAGAATAAACAAGCTAAAAATAAATTAATATTCAAACATGCAATCATAGAAAATTATACTAAAACCTTCTCATATCAACAATATAAAAACTCCTACTGGACCATGTCTACCATGGCACTGTGAGATTAGAAATGCATGTGGACAAATACTTCTTACATTTGAATTTTAGACCTTTTTGAGCCAGTAAGCACTTCAGTTGTGACTGTTACTAAAATAGTTTGGTATTTCTGGATTGCCAAATGACAATTCCTTTTATGAACAGTGTTGTCAATGCTTAAATAGATATACTATAAATAATATTATCATAATCTAACCTTTTTCTAAGATTGTGTATTAGTTGGTCCAAACAAGAATGTGAGTTGCTTAAAGTTCTAATAAAATTTGTGTTCATGACAACCGACATGGTCCTGCTGTTTGTATTTGTGGTGTTTGACAAATGACCAATACCACTGTGTAAAACATGGATAAAAGAAAAGAACAAAATCAACCTTTAAGATCTCATAATATATATTTTACCACAATATTACTCACAGTCTGATTTGTAAAAACTTGTTTCTCACCTCTCCTGCATAGGGGTAGGCCTCCTCCGAGTCAATGCCACCATTTTCCTTCACGTACTTAAAAGCGTTGGTCATGTATCCACCTCCGCATCCGTCATTTTCCGACACGCAGTCGACCAGGTTCTGTGGACTGAGGTCAATGAGCTGTCCGGTCTTCTTGGCCAGCTGGGCCTCAAGAGCCCCGGCAGAGCTGAAGGCCCAGCAGGAGCCGCAGGATCCCTGTCCAGAGAATGAATGAAAGGAGAAGGAGGAATACTGAATGATCCCATAAATCAGCATAAAATACAGTTGAATTAAGACTCTGATCTTCTTTTAACTCCCTGTTTTCTTGGTACAATAGCTTATGTCACAATAATATAAACATTTTATGTATGTGATTATTTGAGCACGATTATTTGTCCAAATTTTCTGTGTTGAAGGAGTGGTTGCATTCTCCTATCTGAACACCAGGGGGCAGGCTAACACAACCTAATCTGATTAGGACTAACAAAATAAAAACAGTATCTCGTTCAATCTCAGTTCTGACCATGAATTTGAAAGAAAAAACAAAAGCATCACACACAGAAGGGGAGAAATGTCAAAGGTTAAACGTGAGAAGAGGAGAACCTGTTGGAGAGACTGGCCACAGACTTCCTCTGTGACAACTGAAGGGGAGATTTTTACTGTCAAAAACATGCAGACAGATAGATAGATAGATAGATAGATAGATAGATAGATAGATAGATAGA